GAATCTCAAGATATTCAAGCGCAGCCCATACGCGTTGTACGAAAGGACAAAAACAACTTGCGAAGAGGGTGATGTCTTCATCTTGAGTGTGTTGTTTGACGGTCTGGAGAGCTGGTCCGGTGCATGAGCGGTGGTAGACTTTGCCGGAGTCTGTCATGGCTGTTGTGATGATGAGGTTGTTATGATGACAGTGGGTGGTTGAGCGCCAAGTCGTGTGGGGCCTCAAGATTACTAACGTGGAAAGAGAAGCAAAGCAAAGGTGTTACTTACCTAGTCAGACCAAAATAGAAGGAAATTTCAACGTTAGCAGTCATTCCTTCTGTATTTCCACCATCCCACTTTACTTTCTTTCGGATTCAGACACTCCAGTATGAGATAGACGTTCGCTATTTCAGTACCTCACCTCTCAACGAAGGCCCAGAAAATCATTTTGTGCCGATTCACAACGTTCTTGATCAGGGTGCCCAACGATAACAAGTCTGCGATACAGGTCATGTCGCCGTGACTTCGAGATATCACGGAGTCCGGACGTATCATACTTCAACACGCTCGAAGATAGACAGCTTTATCATGAGGTGAGGTCTTGGTCCAACCGAGATGCACACTGGTATCGAAAGGCCTGTTGAGTCCGAAATCCGTGGTCACTTCTTTCCTGCATCACCACACCTTCTAAGCATCCAAGCAAGCGGTAGCTACTATGTACATCTCTTGTTCCAATGTCAGCTTCCATTACCGAGTTCTCCCCTCCCGAACACAAGCAGATTTACCTTGTCATTTCTGGCCTTCATAAAACACTGTAGGAAAGCTCAGTAATCCTCCATGAACAAGACCAAAGCCTCCCGTCCGGAATCATACCTCTCGGATACCCTCTATTTTTGGCCAAGACTCGGAGGGCCACGTGTCCCAGGACCTCCCAGTCACAAATCACAACCTTGACTTGACCCAGCGATCGGCGATCAATGATCAGTGATAGGCGCGTCATCATGATGAACTCCACATCTATTTTCACCTACCGGTTATGCAAAGGAGATGGCGGGAATTCCCTGATAAATTTGAGCGATCAACGTGGAAAGCAGGTGGTTAAAGGACGTCCCTCCCGCCAGTTGAACTTGCCATGGGTTTGGTCAACAGGTTCACCTGAAGGCCTCGAAGTCACTCATTAGCCTAATCTCACGCTTACCAAGTAGCTCATTACCGTGAGGATAAGTCACTACGGATTCAATCTTTCATATGCTTAACATAGCTTTCTCTGACAGAACGACGATTTACTGCCTGTCGAGCCAGAGAAACGAACATGGCATGCATACAACTACGTCGCCTTCCGGATAGCCGACATGTTTAATATCAACATGTGGATGATTGTACGGTACGTTCACTACCATTATTACAACATTGTTGGTCCATGTTAAATGATATCTCCGAGCTCAGCTTCTATGAGACTATCAGACAACTACGAATGTCTTGGCGGCAAGCCGGGATATGCGTATGATTGGGTCAGGGTCTTTCCTTGTCCCTGAATACACGTTGGAGTAGGCTATCCGCAACTCCGTGTAGCATTATCCGGTTGCCGTAGGTGACAGGATTACCATAATGTAAAGGACACCAGGATTGGCAGCTGGTACTGGTATACATGCGGTATCAACTTGCGGTGAGATTCTCAATGGACATAAAGTGCTCAAAGTACTGACATGTACAGTGAAGATCGTACGCTGCGTATATTGCTGGAATCCTTTTCAGTGCTGTCGGTCTCGCTGGATCCAGCTAGTGAGTGAACCCACAATCGTGATACTTCTATACTGAGCTGTGGTTTTCCAGCCGGGCGGATAACCTTTAGCGGCTACCCAGATATATGAGCTATCTTTTGTTACGGGCCTCGGGGTTTCTACAGTCGTCTATTGGACACTGAATTGTGTTTTCCCAGTGGTCGAAACTTCTGACACGTTCGAGGAAATCGACGTGTCTTGGTATGAGCATAAAGCGAGTGGGTCCCTGGATGTTGAAGAAATGAATATAGATGCGAAGGACGCAGGATCAGAGACTGCGAACGAATGACGAAGAAACTTTAGAGGAACCTTGGAGTGACGTTCACTCTCTCGTTGGAACAGAATATCGTCCGGAGGCACGCAATCATCAGTACTGCAGGCTCGCATAGCTCAATGGTAGTGTCTCAGCTGGAGCCAATGTTGGATGTAAACAGGTCCCGCCTGTATCATGCTAATGCGCATTCGCACAGCCGGCAGACAATGGATCACTACATCGCTTTACGGCGCGACGGCCACTACTGTGGCGGAAGGCGTGCAAGGACATTCTGAATCTGCCTGCGATTCTGAAGAGGGGCCTCGATATCTCAATTTCAAGTCCGACGTCATTGATGATGAGGCGGATGAACAATTGTCTGCTCGACCATCTAGTTACCTCATCTAAGTGTGTCTGGCAGCGACATATTGGCTTCCACTTTCGACTTCAACTCAGCACGCACAATTCTCACTCAAACATCGCCGTCTGCCTCATCGCCTTCCGGAGTCCGGACTCGGACTCGGACTCTGACTTGAAGTCATGTCGGCTGCAAGCGCTAAGCGCCCGCCTGACGCAAGTGATGACCTATACGTACCTTATGCACCAAGTCGACGCTAATCTTGAAATCACTGTCAAGCAAATTATCGTTGACGTGACAGGATGATCGTACCAGACTTGAATTCTCAATCTTCCAACTGCTCGCTTCATCAAGGTATGTACTCCCAATAACATTGTTTTTTTTATTAAAAAAAGATCCAATTTTATGTCCATTGAGAGCGAGACTATGGAGGACAGTACTAACTAGTCTTGGAGCCCGTGCTCCGTGCTCTCCTCCAAATCCCCGAAGGCACTGGTATAGGGTGTACCCCACCAGTCCGCCGGTCTCCTTCCTTACCATTCTCGTACGGTATCACCTTATCTTGATTCACCATCGACACCGTGCGTTGCAGAGACTTTAAGTTCCGTACCATATGGCACCTCCGCAAGACGATCCCCCGGACAATCTTAGCTAATCACTTACGGTACATAGTTAGGCCCTCTCGCACCGTCCAAACACCTCAGTATTGTCTTGATACACTACTGCAGGGCTAGTCGGGCCGTCTTTCGCTACCGCCGGCCGTTTTAGGTGGGCAATTTGTCGAAGGGTAGACTCGCGTGTGTAATAATCTAGTGAATAACGCATGCTCGGCCGCTTGCGCGGACCGAACAGAGGTGCGCAATAGGTAGTAAGAGAGTAACCGTATGGACCAGGAAGCAAAAACTCTCAATGACATTACGACACAGAACAAGTAGCCCTACTTTTGCCAGGAGTGCTTTGTGCTTTTAAGCTACGGGTAATCGATGATCGCTGATGCAAGTTTCCAGTATAACAATATCTCGATCAGCTGGGTGAGTATTTCCCAGGCCTTGACCTGATATCATCGCTGAGTTTAAAAATCATATGACCAACCCGCCGTGTCCCATGGACCAAACGACACCGCTACAGAAGCTTCGGATCAAGAGTCTAATTGACAGAATACCCTTCTCTGTAATATTCTTTGGAGATGATGGACTTTAGCTTCAGCCTGAGGAATAGTGTGTTCAGCACGTAAAATCGGCGCTCCCGCGTTATCGCGGACAGTAATTATCTGTACGCCTTGTTACCAAGGGAAGTTCAGTCACCCACGAACAAGACCAACGTCTCCCACTATCTGTCGGATCCTCTAATTTTGGACGGTACTGCGTGCTATCTAGCAGACCGGGCCTGAAGTGACAGCCGAGTTGTCTTGGCCCTTAACGAATCGCGTTAGGCATGATCTATTTTTTAACTACGAGTTGCAAGATAAGCATAGAGTTAAGAACAGCGAGTCGTGAACGATGACGGCACCCTCTTGCCAGTTGAACTTTCCATGGGCTTGGTCAATAGGATCGTCCGAAGCTTCGAGGTCACTCATGAGCCCAACCTCACCATTGCCGAGCAGCTCGTTGCCGTGAGTATCTACGACGGATACGATCCCCCCATGTACTGACACAACTTGATCTATGACAGAACGACGATTTGCTGCCTGTCGAGCCGGTGAAACGCACATGGCGTGCATACAACTACATTGCCTTCTGGACAGCAGACACGTTTAATATAAACATGTGGATGATCGTATCGTACGCTCACTGCTACCATTATGATTTCGTTGGTCGGTATTAACTGAAATCTTCAAGCTCCATGATCCAACTGGGAATGTCATGGTGGCAAGCGTGGATATGCGTTTGGCTGGGTTATGGCATTGCCGCGCCTTTCCTTGTCCTGAATGCACGTCCTGGTGCTATTTTCCATGTGATGTTTCCGATCGTGAATCGCACAAGCTTCGGGATGTTTGGGAGTCTGTGGTGTGTCTTTAATCGCGCCGCTATGGCATGGTACGCCTTCCCAGCTTCGCAATGATGCGCGAGCTAAGCAGCATAGCATATGGTATGGCGTCCAGGCGAGCATCGGAGGTTCATGTGTGCTCGTAATGCTCAGAGCGATGTGGCCCAGCATCAACGATCTCCGTGCGTTGCATTCCACGTTTCCTGTTTGTATCCAGCTGAGGCTGGGCAATAGCGAATTCGATGCCAGCGTCCTCTGGAACGGACACCCGGGATTTCCTATGCTTCTTCCTCTTTTGGCTCATTTCGCTGCCGATCATTTGGTTTCCTGTGCACAAGGTGTAAGTACACTCATATCTTATGAGGACGATCATAAAATGACCTTCCTCAGCCGCCACTTCTTCCTTGTGACACCCATCTTGATGCCCATAGCCTCAATCACATTCCTCATATGGTGCATCATGAAAGCTCACGGAATCGGTCCGATCATACACCAATCCTCTACACTGCACGGATCAAAGCTAGGCTGGGCCATGGTGGTCAGTTCCATGTCATGCATCAGTAACGAGGTAACCCTTATCACGAACGCACCGGACTTCGCCTCCCGCGCACGCACTCCGTCGGCTGCGCTACACTCACAACTGTTTGCAATTCCTCTAAGTGCGGCGTTTGTAAGTTTGATCGGAATCCTTGTGAGCTCGTCATCGCAGGCAATTTACGGGACAGCCATCTGGTCACCCATCGAACTTTTGGGAAATTTTTTGAATGACAATCCGTCAAAAGCCACGAGATTCGGGGTATGTGATTGTGATATCCGAGGATCTGGACTTAAGTTTGATGCGCTTTCACGTCTTCCTTTTCGCAGGTATGGTTTATCTCAGCATCATTCATGCTTGCACAGGTGACGTCGCATATTTTCTTTGCTATTGGTTGCGAATCTAATACTTCTTTTTTAGATGGGGTGTGTCAAATAACATACCCGGACTCCGGGGTGGGCCCCAAACTGACATTGGTTACTAAGCACGAACATCTGCGCAAATTCAGTGTCGGCAGGATGCGATCTGACTGCACTGTTCCCTCGTTTCATCGTACGCATGTCTGCTGTATACTCAGAACTAACATACTTAAGATCCGAATGCAGAACATCCGACGTGGCGGGTATATCGCTGCTACCGTTGGTCTCGCCATGTGTCCATGGAACCTTCTGAAAAATAGTAATGAGTTCACTTCTTACCTCTCCGCATATTCAGTGTTCCTGAGCTCCATTGCTGGGGTGATGGTATGTAGGCACTTCTGCAATTGTTCTTTTCACTATCATGAACGGGTTGCTGTAGGTGACGGAATATTACATTGTCCGCAAGGGTCATTATAACGTGAAAGATCTTTATAATACCGAAAAGGGTAGCTGGTACTGGTACACGTATGGGATCAACTTCCGGTGAGAGTCTCGATGACCTTGAAGCGTCCAACCCTGACAAGTTGTTAAGGGCGTACACCGCGTATATTTCCGGGATCCTTATCAACGCTGTCGGTTTCGCTGGTGCCAGTGAGTTCTCTCCACGATCGCGATGCGCAGATCCTGAGATGCTTCTTTACCAGCTGGGCAGACAGTTCCTCTTCCGGCTACTCGGATATACGAATTATCGTTCTTTACAGGCTTCGGAGTTTCTGCAATTGTCTACTGGGCGTTGAATCGCGTCTTCCCGGTAATCGGTGCCGCTGACACGTTCGAAGAAATTGACGTATCCGGATATGAACGTACGGAACGCAGTCTAGGGGATGTTGAGGAAGTAGACATAGATACGAAGGATGGGGGATCAGACCATTATGCAAGCGAAAGATAAGGAGCTTACGTACCAAACAAATTGTGGCGAGAAAATGATGTCATAGTTTAACACAGGGGTTACGACCTACCTTCATCTGCACACCGTAATTTCGAACAGAATGTCATCTGGAGGCACACAATCACCACCTCTTGAATATACAAACTCGCATATACCTATGGGAGTTTCTTCCATTGATGGTAGTGTCTCGAAGCCAATGTTGGATGCGGAGCAACGAAAGAGTGCGTATCATCCAGCATGACTGTTATTTATAAGATCCGCTCAATTTTGAGCACTTTAGCTTATTTCGCTGAGCCGGAGGCGGTGAGTTTACCACAGAGAGTAACGGGGATGCGTGTGATTATCAGCTGACTCTCCCACCAGAAAGAACGTGGAGGAACAAAGGAGATAGGGAAAGAGCAGCAAAAGGAATCCGCAAAGGAGAAAGAGTGATCATGGGAACGCGGTTAGTTCATGACTCAATGGCTGGATTCGGGGAAGAAAAAATGCAGGGCTCTACCTAGTACAGTTATAGGGATTTACTCGCTGCCATCTCGTAAATATTCCTTCCACCACGTTCTAAATCCTGTGCATTCCAAGGGAAGTAATTTCTCTGTTTCAGCAGTAGACAGGTGACAGTTGTAAGGACGTGATGTGGCACCAGCCCCAGTTGGAGGTGTGGAGACAGGCTTTATATGATTCATGCTATTGAGTCCAAGGATGTCGGCAAAGATTTTGCACATCTGGTACTTTGTGAAGGACTCGTGTGCCGAGTAGTGGAGAATGGGCGGTAGAGCATCGAAACTGAGATCTGCCAAACCTCGTGTTTCAGCGTAATAGTTTCTCAACAGAAACGAATTTGTACACACCCGTCAGGCGTACCAAAAAGGATGCGATGTCCAATACATTGGTAGGATACCTGATCGCATAGTCATCCATGTTAGACTCCTTTGATTGGTCCCGTACCACGTCAACGAGGATGTTAACGGCTGAGTCTGCATTGTTAGGTGCAGGACCATACCTAAGCGTGGGTGAGATCAGAGTCAGTGCGACGGGAGGTCACTTGCAATACTGGAACTCTCAGAACAACTGCCCTGGCACCCTGTTGCCGAGCTTGCAACACAGCATTCTCACCATCCCGTTTAGTCAGACCATAAATCTGAAGCGGGTTAGTAGGTAACTCTGGTGTGTACCCGCCAGAGGGAGGCGATCTTCCGTCGAAGACATAGTCTATTCATCATTAAATGACAGTAGGTTCATGACGGCTGCGGTACGCTGCTTACCAGTAGAGATATACACGAGTGTAAAGTTTATGGCCCTCGCGAGTTCAGCAAGGTAACCTGGCACTCCAACATTCAGCTGGATAAGTGTTATCAGAGGTGTCACTGCTAATCATTATCTTCCGACGAACAAGTTGGGTTCCGACTTGATCCTGAGGTTACATATGATATGGATCAACGTAACATCGATATCGATGTGAACATCCATACCTTCTCGGCAACATCAGGTCGTCTTTCAGCAGCACAATGGATCACCCCTTACAAGTCCCAGTGAATACCTGCGCGAAACCATCTTGAAATCGTTCTCACAAGTGGGTTTAATTTCCTCTAACTTCTGCTTAGTCGCTTCCTTATCTGTCAAATCTAGCTGCACTAGATGGCTAGCGGTGCTTTTATTCTTCAAGCCCACAACCTCATATCGCAGTGCCTTCTCGAATGCCTTGTGGACCGTAGTACCTAGAACACCGGACGCTCCTGACCGTTCTTCAGTATGAGGCTTCTCAGATGCAAAGAAGACGTGTCTACCTGTAACCACAATCTTCAAGCCTGACATGAAAGAGATATTTAGCGTAGTGACTTTGGCAGTTGAATTGTAAATCAGCCTTCCCAGCCCCGCCAGGTCATGGGCCGGGCCTGATTCCCTCGGGCTCCGCCTGTGAGAAATTTATTTATCGAGCCTGAATCGCTAGGGTGCGGGATATACCGCCAGCGCTATTGCCGCACATGTACCTGCACCAGCAGGCACCAGCTTCGTTGAGCGCTCTTTTGGGTTATTTGAATTATGTAAATAAAGTTGTAGTTCTCAGGGACGTCCTGTTGTCTTCTACCAATCATGTCTGAGAACGGCTCGCTGCGGTGCTCAACATTCGACGATGGATGGCAGGAACCTAGCTCAAGGTATTAATATTACTGTTAACAGATACAACACGGGGCTTCACGACAACTACGTGCCATTGTCGATAACGTGGTTTGTCACGGTCGTGCTGCACTATTCAATGTGTATCTGACACCGAACTTCATGATCTTAGCCAGATCAGCAGATCTTGTGAAATTCCGGTTATTTTCTTCTCATGGCTACGGAGAAACGTTAAACCATCTTCCTAGTAGAACTAGACTGTTTCTATGCAAATGGAACTCCCCATTCCTGAGCCCTGCTTCTCTGTCAAGCAGAGTTAAACGTTGTACGGCAGGGTTTGAGGGTCAAGATTATATGAGGAACGAGGCTCACCGTGCCTTCTAGAGGTACACGGCGACTCTCCCATTCATCTTCCTTCACGGTGTGTTGGCCTAAGGATGACGTTGCCACTCCGAGTCAAGCCTCGCCTTCGCCTCGACCCAATGCATTGCCACCGTCATCGAACTTCGTGCAGGCCGCGGGGCTCGACAGTTGTCTTCAAGCTTCGCAATCACACTGTCACGTATCCAGCTTCCGGTAAGTGTCACAAGCCCAATGGTATGAACCAGGCGATTGGTCGTTGACTGGTATGCACAGCTCATTACTTCTGGATATGCAACTATATAGCCCCTCTATTAAAATGGTCAAGCAGGCTGGGCTTGGTGAAATGATCTCTTGCCCAGTCTTTGGAGATCATGGTAAGGTCGAAGGCAAAGTTATGCTAGATCCTAACTGCTCACAAAACGGTCGGCTGAACATATCTGTAAGTCTGGTGCGACAGTAAGTCATACACGTGAACTCAATAACTGTTGCTATTGTAGATCGAAGGCGTGTTTGAGTATGTCTCCGTAAAGGAGGATCTAGACGACGAATCTGCCCAGGGACCTAAAACTTCGAAATACAAGCACATATTCTTATCATCCTCTGCCGTTATTCCTATTTCACCCATCCCTGACCCGTTTTCTGTTGTTTGCGACGTGTTTGGGGTATCACAACTTCTCAGTGACTCGGGTTTGACTGGCCCTGCGTCTAGATCATGCGAATTCAGCTTTGAAATTCCTCGCGGCAGTCGACCAGGGGAAGAGATGCCTCCCACTTTCTGTGCTTCGATGCCTTGCGATAACAGGCAAGGGGGCCTGTCTGTTGTGGAGAAGGCTGAAGTGTCTTATCGCGTTACTGCACTGTGGGAGCCCTCAGATATGTTGGAGACCAGAGGGATGTGCGTTATCAAATGCCAGGCACCAGTACCTTTCAGATGCTTACCGCCCAGGTTACAGGCTGGAAGTTCCTATTCTTTTTCATCCGGACACAGACTTTCAGTCTATGGATGGTTCCAATATCGTGCCAGAATTATGGCTCGAAATGCCTCTTACACCAGAGCGATCTGTTCCATTCCATTGCGCTGTAGGTCGAAGGCGTAGCACGTGTGTATATCATCTCACGAACAGAATCCATAGGTCACTCTGCCGCGCCCGCAAACGTTTTCTCGACGTACCTCTGTCCCATATTTTGTTGTATTTACAACAAAACCTCGATGTGCCGTACTTGCCCAAGAAATTGCCGCCGATGCCACCATTGCTGTTTCTCTGGTCCGTAAAGTTACCATCAAGCCCCAGCTACCCCCTACTTCCCTTGACGCCACACAACTCAGTGACGATTCAGATAGTTCACCAGGCCATCTTCCGATGTCACGGACCAAGCTCCTAAAGCGTGCACCAACGCCGGCTGGAACTACAGTAATTCGCGTACCCAAGTCCCCTGAAGAGCCTTTCTCAGCTACCGTCCGGTACAAACCACTCCCTGAATTACCACAAGCCTTCTCGGAAACTCATATTGTAAAAACACAAGTGTCTGTTGGATTTCCAAAGCGGCCCCGTTATCCTAATGGCCCTAGTGGTTGTGAAAGCCAGATGTATCTGCCCGATGGCCTTTATAAGGGCAAATTCTGGTTGTCAAAGGATATAATACCAGGAGTCGATTGGCCTGGTGTTAGCGTTAAGGTGAGTCTCCTCCTATAACAGACGGTTCACACCTGACGGATATGTTTCAGTATTATTTGGACGTCACTGTTCTCTTTCGGCAGGACGCGTTAAGGGCATGCGTTCCTATTCGAGTTTTCTAAGGCATCCAATCGTCAATTCACTGTCTAGGGCTCTGTTCGTTCAAAAGTACTGTCTGTTTTTTGTCGTTGTGGATTGTCTGAACAAAGTTAACATGGTTATTCGTCACTTTATTGCATTAATGTTATTATCAAGTACACATCATCAAAATACAAATTGTATTAATACCATGCATACATCTTGACACCAGCCCAACCCTGATGACCTCGCAGGTGACAGATTGTTCTGGTGTGGCCTCAGGCCTCAGCGCCCACGCTGGACATTGAACAATTCAAACTGAACTCGATGTGTGTCACGAGCAGCTTACAGTTGGTTGATAGAAGGGTCGTCTGGACAAATAATTGTACACAAACAGCTCCTATTTTGGGCCTGCGTGGTAATAACGACATTGAATTTGGAATTTTGGATGTGCACCTTGCATGTTCTACACTTCTCCTAATACTGTAGAAAAGGAAGACAATCGTTCTATAACAACTACAAACTGTACCACGGCATTAATATCACGACCAGCATACGAAGAGTCGGAATAGTGGATCGCATGATCAAGACGTGCTGGTAAAATTTACTGGTAACTCGTCATTCATGCAATTTATAGGCTTGTTTCCAACTTACGTCGCATCATGTAGATATATCTTAGCAGGTTCACCTGGGAATATACGCCGCACCTTCGTCATGTCACGAGCAGGTTACGAACGGCTGCCTATGCATACTGTGCCAGAACCTGTCCCATCGCGTCCTCGTTCCCGTTCCCGTTCTCGTTCGCGCCCTCAGTCACTCCATATCCCTATAACCATCCGCTCATTCGATTTCACGAAGCTCTTGAAATTCACCCTTGCGCTTGCTGTGGCTGTTATACTATACACGTTTTACTTCTATGAGCCGCACGTCGAAATCACTTTCTACTCGCGCAAGTGGATAAACAGCGAAATCGAGCCCGTGGGACAGCTGGCTGGATGTTTTGATGAGGGAAGGATTAGTGCAGAATATAATGCTTCTAGGTACTTGGAAGGACCGAAGAAAGTAGAGGTGCATGCTGGTATGGGAATGAGACTTGGGATGGACTGCTATGAGTTTGCTGCGACAATTCCTCGACCGACTAGTACCACGGTGGACAGCAGGCCTTACTTAGCTCCGGATGAGAGGACACAGTACCATACGTACTGGCGCGTAGACCTCGCACCCTTTTCAGAGCGGCAGGAGTGGATGCTCAAATCCTTTTTCGCGACTCAGGATCATGCGGCCTCGAGACTTGTAATGTGGTCAAATGGGGACTTGTCGACGAACTCTATACTTGCATCATATGCCGACATGTACCCGAATTCGTTCGAGATGCGGGTGGTGGATATCCCCAAACTGGCGAGTGGAACTGCATTGGACGGGAGTCCGTTGCTGAAGACAAATGACAAGAAAGCATGGACGGACGGCGATCTTGTCAGATTGTTAGTCATATGGAATTATGGGGGTGTGTGGATTGATATGGATTCACTATTAACTCGAGACCTTTCTCCTCTACTCGAGCACGAGTTCGTCACCCAGTGGGATTGCTACGGTAAGCCCTTGTCATGCAAGTCCATGAGTACCATACTCAAGTTCGTTATACAGACAAAATCTATCAGCCGTTAAACGGCGCCCTGATGCATTTCCACAAACACTCTCCATATCTTTGTGAAGCATTCAATGTCATGGCGACTTCGGCAGCTCCTCGTGCTGATTCTACGGACTGGGGCGCACTCCTTTACCTCAAGCTCTGGCGCCGTCTCCTGGGTGCTCACATTCCGCCTTTCAAAGTCCTTCCATTTTGTTTCTCAGATGCCCGATCGTGCAGATTAGATAACAGGTTGCCTGATCCATTTGATGAGGATGATGGCAGCGAGGCACGGTGGTGGCGTACTATGAAGGATGGGCTGCAGGAGGGCGGAGACCTAGATGATGCGCTTAGGAATGTGTTTGCCGTACATCTCCATAACCAATGGGACAAGACATTTCCGAAAGGGGGCTGGGTGGAAAGGTTACTTCTCAAGAGGTATGAGGAGAAACTTGCGGAGAGGGAGGATTTGTAGATCGCGAATTATATTATTTGACACTGGACGGACGTATCCGCAGATAGTTTACCTCAGCTACTATTCGTTGATCGTAGATGATTTATATATAACACACGTTTGTTCGTCTTGAGCAATTCTTTCAGAACTCCATGGCTATCATCCCCACAAAATCATAAACTCGGACAAGGGCTAGACCAGTACTGGCCTATGAATTTAACAAGTCAATCTTTCCCGATGCATCAAGGTACGGAGGGATTATCTTCACCTCGTCCAAGGTTTGCTCTTTGTGCAGCCATTATGAGAAAATCGCATAGTTAGTACGCTGGGTGACTGCCTGCTCCGAAGTCGAAGGAGTGGGGGCCTTGTGGTCATGAACACAGAGATACAAGATCAGGTTATGCTCTAAAACTCACAATACTTAATCCGTCGACTCCTGCATCAAGCTCGTGGAATGTGTGGAAGAGCACGCAATGCATCTGACACAAGACGCAGGCGTTAGAGTAAACATTACACTGAACAGCAGCTTATCAGAAGAACTTGATCGGGTTACACATGTGGCCGAGATTACGGTCGTTCACGCACGTTACAATAAACTGATCACTGCAACTGGCTTGAATGGTATGGTTATTAGGGGCGCTCGTTGCTGAGCTTGTCCCGTACTTCGAAGGGCTATTGCGGCACTCCAAGTTCAGCAGTGGTGCATCCCCAGCGAGGCGGTGCCGTCCGTAATATTTCTATTCGTCGTCGTCGTCGTCGTCGAGTCACAGGTAATAGTATTCCCTGTCAGTATTTGAATTCTGTTAACACAATTGCTACCATAATTGCGCATGTGCCGGCGCCGCTGGGGCGACAACAACTCCGTCGCGCATCCGCTGATGTGCACGTCGCCAGTGATTCTACTAGTATCCTCGCTGAGGAACCTAGTAGCAGCCTGCCATCTATGACAGAGCAGGAGATGCTGTACTCACTCGCAGAGGGCAACCCAGTGTAACGGTGTTGGGTTGCTGGAGTCATGCGGAAGCTGTTTACAGCGAGTGCGTTTCGGGCCCACATCCCACTCTGCTCGGAGAGTTGAATGTTTCATATATTAACAAGTCTGCATTTGTTACAGTGTGTTAATAAAGGAGAGCTAATACACTAAAAATGCAAGCAGTTAGCATGTCGAAGACGTGACGAGGAGAAGATCGAATCCACAAAGCTGAAGTTAAAAATGGGAGGAGGGAAGCATGCGCGGGAGTGAAGATATGTTGAGACCTTACTACTAGGTGACGGCTACATCATTAAGCTGAAGCGAAGATGTTGAACCGAGTCTGGGGTCTTGCGGCGTTACATTGTAAATGACGTGAGGGTGTCCGGGCTTTGTTTGCTCAGGGTTTGAAGTCGTTCGAAGGAACCGAGAAAGATCCGAATGATAACAAGGTACCATGAGCTAGTACACAATTTAAATCTATCCCAACGCCGTTAGCCTCCATTTCTCCTGTCAGTTACAGAGCCGACGAACGGTGTTTACGGTCTACTCCCAGAATGTTGAGTGAGGTTTCCAGGACATAAAAGCAGGCTGTTTTCCTGCTATCTGAAAGTTATCCGAACTCAAACAGATCCCATTTTACCTCATACAACCAATGCATTTCTCCTTGCTCGTCGTCATTGCTTCTCTGACAGCATTTATGTTTGTCAGTGCCACACCAGCTGTTTTGAGCAGGGAATGTACTGCCAACGGGGGGGATTGCAAAGAAGGCTCCCAGTGCTGCTCTGGAGTTTGCTATATTACTTCAGGGATTGATACTATTGATGATAATGGTGTAAGTTTGCTTGGGATCTACTTACAGGATCCAACCGAGTCAGAATCGCGACTCACCCTTCGCGCTTTGTAATAGCAAATTCAGGAAGGCAACACCGATGGGCTTTGCTTCGATACGAGTTCGCTACCTTCAGATTCCTAAGAGTTGCTACATCGGAGTGAGTCATGGTTCTGCCTTCGTATTGGAGTTGTTGTTCATGACTCGATTCCTAGTGACTTGTTGGGTTGATCATTATGATCGCTGTTGAGCCAATTTCACTGCGGCTTGAGCGATAGGAAGCCTTGAATAGAAGAAGATCTGATACGCGTAATATGATATTGACTCGAAAACGCAATATATGAGTGAGCAAAGTCGTGTCCAGCCAGCTTGATAACTCTGTGACTTCGAGTTGATAGTAAATGGTCGTAGAGAAGAAAATTGACACATCGACCACAGCTCTCGCCGCGGCCATAAGCCGGAGCCGTGGCAACACTAGGCGTGAGGGGTTCTGTGGGGGAATCTAGTAGGGAGGCGGCTTCTGAAAGGCTCATTAACCAAATATTCTGGGAATGAAAAATGGATGACAGTGTTATGGTCGTTGGTAATCGTTTGTCGGGTGCCTGACTGGCAGGAGAAATGATGTGATCATATTTAAACTGTTTGGACTAGATATTATTTTACATACATTTTTACCTCACCGTGAGCTCACTGTCGCAGTGGTCTGAGACTGGATTCCAATACGTAAATAATTTATATACCACATGTTTGTTCGTAACATCAGTCTTGAGCGATTCTTTCAGCATCCGAGTCACCCGCTAGACCAGCACTGACCTATGGATCTAACAAGTCAATCTTCCCCGATGCATCAAGGTATGAAGGAACTTGCCCAACTATCTTTGCCTTGTCCTCCTTGCGCAGCCATTATGAGAAAACCACATAGTCATATCTTGTTGGTACGCTGGGTGACTGCCTACTCCGAAGTCAAAGGATCGGGGGCCTTATGATCATGAATACAGAGATACAAGTTTACAACTGTTACGCTTGGCAAAAGCCTTCGATGGATATTTGTCTCCATCCTCGTCGGCATGCACTTAGTTCTATCACCTTCTTTCTTATTCCTTTTGATTACATCAGATTAATAGATCTACAGTATATAAACTCGCCTTTATCTACTGTAGCGTTAGTTGATCTTTCCCTGACTGAATACATCTTAGTTCAGGCAGTTACCTTGTTCGAATCCTTAAGTCTATTCTCTCGCCTTCAAGACTCGTTCCTATCGTGCGAACACTCTCTGAGTGCCACAACAACACCAGGCCACGCTCTAAAACTCACAATAAACACTTACAGCTATTTCCAAATCGATAGGCCAAGATCGATTTTACACAACTCACCGACTTTGTTTATCTTTAGAGTAATTAGTCAGAGATGTCAACAAAGGTGCAGCATAGCTTCGGAATCGAAACGTCATATCCACCGTCCGCGTCATGGTAGGGAATCATCGACATATACCAGAGTCCGTCGAACAACAATGTCTGCCCACATGGAATTGAGGTATATTGCCCATGTCACACACTCCGGTCATCATACCGTCAATCGTGCGCTTCGCCTCTCATGCGCACGGTTCACAGGGTCTGTCATTCATGGCGTACAAGACTCGATTATTTCTTACACCATGGTCACCCGTACCTTGAAGCTTGTGTCGAGCGCACCCCGGGCATTTTTCTACATGAGCTACGTGCACTACGGCACGCGAGGGGCATCAATGTTTCACTACAGACCATCGGGAAGACTTTGCGTGAGGAGATTCGTAACCTTTATCAAACGTGCCCGTCAACACAACTTTTAGTTAGCATCACCGGGATCAAGTCATCTGCTATATACCTTCAATAGTGAAACTGAAATATATTGTCATCGTCATATAATGTCATTTGTTTGCCAGTGCCAGAGACGAACTAGAATTTCACCAGGGCTGCTAGTTGGAAGTGGAGCATGAGGCTACAATCACTGGGCTGGTGAGTGAGAAGTAGCGCTCTTGGAGTGGTCCCCATTGCAAGCGAGTGGACTGAACTAGCTCATATGCCTGCTAGTCATCATACCGAGTCAGCAAGCCCTTATAAACGATCTAGAGTAGTCTTTCTAGCCTGACAGCATCATGCTCAAATCTAGAAATATGTGACACAACAGTCAGGCAAGGCGGGGAGGCGGTTGTTTGTTTCACCCCAAAACTAAACAAAGGCGGTGAGTTTGCAAAATGGAATTTGGCCTATCGATTTGGAAATAGCTGTAATCCATCGGCTCCTGCGTAAGGCTCTTGGAATGCGTAGAAGAGCACACAATGCATCTAGCACAAGACGTAGAGTAAACAATACATTGAAGAGCAGTTTATTGACATAAACAGACCTGAGGGCGACAGGCAGGTTTGCCTTCAGTGTGTCATATGCGTAATCACAGTTGTCACGGAGATACTTCCCAGAAGAACTTGATCAGGTCGAGCTCACAATGAAAATTCAGTGAGGAGATACACATGTGGCCGAGATTACGGTCGTTCACGCACGTTACAATAAACTGACGCTTGTAGTATATTTATTCTTACTAGGTACATGATTCGTTAACCGTGAGTTCTTTTCAAGAGACTGAGTGTTCTTACTGGCGTTCGCGCCTCCCCCGCTGGTAATTAGTATCACCGCAACTGGCTCGAATGGTATGATTATTAGGAGCCCGGTTGCTGAGCTTGTCCCATACCTCGAAGGGTTATTGCGGTACTCCAAGATCAGCAGTGGTGCATCCCCAGCGAGGCGGTGCCGTCCGTAATATTTCTATTCGTCGTGGTCGTCGTCGAGTCACAGGTAATAGTATTCCATGTCTGAATTCTGTTAACGCAAATCCTACCATAGTTGCGCATGTGCCGGGGCCGCTAGGGCGACGACAACTCGGCCGCGCATCTGCTTGATGTGCACGTCACCAGTGGTTCTACTAGTATCCTCGCTGATGAACCAGCAGTCTGTCTATGACAGAGCAGGAGATATTGTACTCACTCGCAGAGGGCAACCGAGTACAATGGTATTGGGTTGCTGGAATCATGCGGAAGCTGTTGACGGACGTCCACATCCCAGTCTGCTCGGAGTGCTGAATGTTTCATATATAAGTCTCCATTTGTTACAGAGTGTTAATAAAGGAGAGATAATACGCTAAAGATGCAAGCAGTTCACATGTCGAAGACGTGACGAGGAGAAGATCGAACCCACAAAGCTGAAGTTAAAAACGGGGGGTGTGCGGGAGTGAATATATGTTGAGACCGTGTCCGGACTTTGTTTGCTCAGGGTTTGAAGTCGTTCGAAGAAACCGATAAAGGTCCGAATGATAACAGGTTACCAGAAACCGTTAGGTGACGGCTACATCATTAAACTGAAGCGAAGATGTTGAACCGAGTCTGGGGTCTTTACATTGTAAATGACGTGAGTGTGTCCGGGCTTTGTTTGCTCAGGGCTTGAAGTCGTTCGAACTTCGAAGGAACCGAGAAAGGTCCGAATGATAACAAGGTACCATGAACTACACAATTTAAATCTATCCCAACGCCGTTAGTCACCATTTCTCCTGTCAGTTACAGAGCCGACGAACGTGTTTATGGTCTATTCCTAAAATGTTGAGCGAGGTTTCTAGGACATAAAAGCCGGCTGTTTTCCTGCTATCTGAAAGTTATCCGAACTCAAACAGATCCCATTTTACCTCGTACAACCAATGCATTTCTCATTGCTCGCCGTCATTGCTTCTCTGGCAGCATTTATGTTTGTCAGTGCCACACCAGCTGTTTTCAGCAGGGAATGTACTGCCAATGGTGGGGAATGCAAAGAAAGCTCCGAGTGCTGCTCTGGAATTTGCCTGATTCTTGACTCGCTTAATACTCTTGGTGATAATGGCGTAAGTTTGCTTGGGATCTACTTGCAGGATCCAACCTCGGAGTCGTGACTCACCCTTACGCGCTTTGTAATAGGAAAGTCAGCAACTCTACAGCGAAGGGTTTTGCTTCAATCAGAGTGCGATAACTTCAAATTCCTAAGAGTTGTTACATCGGAGTGAGTCATGTTTCTGGCTTCGTATTGGAGTTGTTGTTCATGACTCGATTCCTAGTGACTTGTTGGGTTGGTCATTGTGATCGCTGTTGGGCCAATTTCACTGCGGCTTGAGCGATAGGACTCGGAAGGCTTGAATAGAGGAATATCTGATACACTCAATATGATATGATTGACTCGAAAACGCAATATATGAGTGAGCAGAAGTCGTGTCCAGCCAGCTTGATGCCTCTGTGACTTCGAGTTGACAGTAAACGGTCGTAGGGAAGAAAATTGACACATCCGAGTCGACCAATCATAATGCTTGGGTCCAGGTTTAAACCCACTTTCGTGTCAGCGACTAGAAGTGACATTTTAGCTCAAAAATTGACCGGACAAGAAGTACGCGCGGCGAAGGCTTCGTTGCTTGACCATGGTGGTTACCTACGTACTAGTAGCATAGTACCACATCACCAAGTGCAGCTGGTCGCAGATGTGCGTGCGCGCCGTGATTCCAAGGTCTCGTCAGAGCATTTGTACCGCCCCGCACTGGCACAAGCCCACAAGTAAGGTCAACGACTTGCCGTAAAAAGTAGATAGCCTAAGCGCCTCTGTTTGGTGTCGCTCCAATAATAAATAAAAGCGGTTAGGTGAGTTTTCTGGATTCCGGTCTATCGATATGAAAATAGCTGGAACGATTCCATTTACCTTCGACCGACGCACACGAATATGAATACATACTTTGTGATTTGGCAAACTTCCGGTTTCAATACGAGCAAACAACTGCAACTGTTACGTCAATCCAACTTCAAGCAATCACGATATGCTTGATCGCACCCGAACTGTCTGTCTCAGACTCTAACGCTATTGGAATCCAGTCTCGGACCACTGCAACAGTGAGCTCACGGTGAGGTAAAAATGTCCAAATATGCATGTAAAATAATATCTAGTCCAAACAGTTTAAATATGACCACATCATCTGCTTCCATTTCTCCTGCCAGTCAGGGACCCGACAAACGATTGCCAATGACCATAACACTGTCATCCATGTCTCATTCCCAGAAATGGTTAGGCTTTCAGAAGCCGCCTCCCTACTAGATTCCCCCACAGAACCCCTCATGCCTAATAGGTAGTGTTGCCACGGCTCCGGCTTATGGCCGCGGCGAGAGCTGTGGTCGATGTATCAATTTACTTCTCTACGACTGTTTACTATCAACTCGAAGTCACAGGCATCAAGCTGGCTGGACACGACTTCGCTCACTCATATATTGCGTTTTCGAGTCAATCATATCATATTGAGTGTATCAGATATTCCTCTATTCAAGCCTTCCGAGTCCTATCGCTCAAGCCGCAGTGAAATTGGCCCAACAGCGATCATAATGACCACCCAACAAGTCACTAGGAATCGAGTCATGAACAACAACTCCAATACGGAGGCAGAAACATGACTCACTCCGATGTAACAACTCCTAGGTTGAATTTAGCGCTCTCTGATCGAGGCAAAACCCATGGTTGTCGGCTTCCTGTTACAAAGCACGAAGGGTGAGTCACGACTCCGAGGTTGAATCCTGCAAGTAGATCCCAAGCATACTTACGCCATCACCATTCAGAAGCGAAATCGATGAAATCAGGCAAATTTCTGAGCAGCACTGGGAGCTTTCTTGGCAATACCCACCAGTTTCAGTACATGCCCTGCTGAAAACAGCTGGTGTGGCACTGACAAACATAAATGCTGTCAGAGAAGCAATGTCGGCGAGCAAGGAGAAATGCATTGGGTGTACGAGGTAAAATGGTATCTGTTTGAGTTCGGATAACTCTCAGGCAGCAGGAAAACAGCCCGCTTTTATGTTCTAGAAACCTCGCTCAACATTTTGGGAATAGACCATAAACACGGTTCGTCGGCTCTGTAACTGACAGGATAAATGGAGACTAACGGCGTTGGGATTGTGTAGTTCATGGTACCTTGTTATCATTCGGACCTTCTCGGTTCCTTCGAACGACTTCAAACCCTGAGCACGGACACCCTCACGTCATTCACAATGAAAAGACCCCAGACTCTGCTTACTTCAAGTTGATGTTGCAGCCGCATCACCGAGCAGTATATAATCCTCAACTCCCCACTGGCCGCACGCCGGCTCCCGCCTTCCCCAACCCCCCGCTACCGTCTTTTCCTCGTTAGCGTCTCTCTTTCTGAGTCGTTACTCCTGTCGATGACGTGGCACTTACACTTCGTTTGGATGTCGTGTTATTTTTATCCTAGCATGTCACAGCACATCAATGAATACAATTATATGATGGATAGTCTTATACTAGGCCTGCGTGTGTCCAGCTACCGTAAAACAAAGCGCGCCTCGAGTTCTGGAGCAGGACAAGAGCGGCGGAAGTTACGGAAGAGTGGAATTTGGTACGATGAAGTGCATATGCGATAAAATGGGGGAGCTTTACTTGTGAGTTAGAAGGGGGTACTTTGGACGAGCAAAAAAATGGGTAATGAAGGGCACACAGCCGCGAAGCCTGCTCATGGTCGCAAAATGGGTCAGAGATAGGTTGAGTAGACTGAGGTTTGGGTGGCGCCTAGGTTATCATCATCCACACAGTGCGCCATCGACAGTACTGAACTGTGAGACGGGAACATCGGCGAAGTGGAGTGGAACGAGTGAGTCGTCAAACTCGCTAGTCACGAATGCAGTAATATGATTGTGTATAGTATGACACGGCTCCGGTACTCCTCTAATATCTGGTCGAAGGGCATTAACAAGCGTGCAGGATGGCGTTGGCGTGAATGATATGGTTATTCGAGGCGCTGATTGCTGCAGTGCGTCACGATGTGTGGTGTAATGTTGGGAACCGCAGTGCTGAGCCTGGTGTCCATTGCCCGCAGGCTGTGCCGCTGAATTTGCGTGACATGACGCTGCGATAGGGCTGAATCACTGTTAAAATTGAATGGCGTGAGTGAAGATGCATACCTTGACGAGTGATACTTCTCGATGCACAGTAGGTATGAGTGGAATTACGATCACGAGTGCCAATACCCAGTGACGCGTGAATATCAATGCTCTGCACCGCTCGGTCGTCAAAAGCGTGTCCTCTCAAACGTTTCCCGTACTTCGAAGGTTTAGTATTGCGGCACTCCAAATTCAGCAGTGGTGCATCTTCAGCGAGGCGGTGCCGTCCGTAATGTATCCATTCGTCGTCGTCGAATGACAGGAAATAGTATTCCCTGTCCATGTCAGTATTTTGGCTCTGTTAACACAAATGCTACCATAGCGGCGCATGTGCCGGCGCCGCTGGTGCGACAACAACTCCACCGCATATTTGCTGATGTGCGCGTCGCCAGTGGTTCTACTAGCATCCTCGCTGATGAAATAGCGAGTCTGTCTCTGACAGAGCAGGAGATACTGCACTTACTCGCAGAGGGAGAGGTATCACCCAGTATGGCGGTATTGGGTTGCTGGAGTCATGCGGAAGCTGTTGACGGACGTTTATAGCGAGTTCGTTGCCGGGCCACATCCCAGTCTGCTCGGAAAGTTGAATGTTGTGTGTGTATTACTAAACAAGTCTGCATTTGTTACAAAGTGTTGATAAAGGAGAGCTAATACACTAAAAATGCAAGACGTTGACATGTCGAAGAGGCAGTGACGAGGAGAAGATCGAACCGATGAAACTGGAGTTAAAAATGGGGGGAGTAAGCATACGGGGGAATGAGGATATGTTGAGACCGTTAGATACTGCTTGGTGGCGGCCCGTGACGGCCACGACATTTAGCTGAAGCGAAGATGTTGAACAGAGTCTTTGTGATTTGGCAAACTTCCGGTTTCAATACGAGCAAACAACTGCAACTGTTACGTCAATCCAACTTCAAGCAATCGCGATATGCTTGATCAGACCCGAACTGTCTGTCTCAGACTTTAACGCTATTGGAATCCAGTCTCGGACCACTGCGACGGTGAGCTCACGGTGAGGTAAAATGTCCAAGTATGCATGTAAAATAATATCTAGTCCAAACAGTTTAAATATGACCACATCATTTGCTTCCATTTCTCCTGCCAGTCAGGGACCCGACAAACGATTGCCAATGACCATAACACTGTCATCCATGTTTCCTTCCCAGAAATGGTTAGGCTTTCAGAAGCCGCCTCCCTACTAGATTCCCCCACAGAACCCCTCATGTAGACCCCACACGACTATGCTTTCTCCATCCTCGCAGTTGTCGTTGCTTTGCCAGCTTTTATTACTCTCCACTAAACGCCTGAAACATTTTAAATGACATGCGCACAGGTTCTGGATTGGGTGTCGTTATCAACGGGGAGCTTGCGCATATTCGGGTTTCCGGTACCCTGTTATCACTCGGACGTTACTCGGCTCCATCAAACCCTGAGGAAACAAGGTACGGACATCCCTCACATAATTCACCAGGAAAGGACCCCAGACTCTTCTGGTTCAGCTTATTTGTGACGGCATCACCAGCTGTATATAACCCTCAACGCATTCCTTCACCCTTCCGCTTCCCTTCCGCCCACGTCCCTCCAAGCTCCGTTCTCTCCAAAACTTTTCCCTTCCTCTTTGCTATGATAACATTGTTTTATCCTCGTTATGTTGATGTATCTCCTTGTCGGACGCAGAATTTTCAATACACACTTTGTTATATTTTGTATCTGACACAATAATACATGGGTTGGCTGTTCTATTCTACGTTAGCGCTCCCCTGGAATCGTCTATAGTGAGACCTGCACAGCGGGTATGGGTCTTATGGTGGTCCAGAGCCAGGGTTGCCTCCTGTAATATGGGGAGTGAGACATCGTGGGGGATTGGAATGGAGGCGCAGCGCCATTTGGTCTTGGAGGGTCACTGGGCCTCTGCTGCCCTGGTAGTGGCTGCGAGACGTTTCCTGGTTGACCTGGAGGGTTGGTAGGTGTACACTAAGATTAGTAGCAGATTAGTAGTTGAAAAAATAAAATGTAACAAAGAAGCGGCGAAGGAAGTGGAGGTAGTGCCGTTAAACAGTCGCTACTCTGCTTAGGCTTGTGCAGAGACACCTTGTCGACGTCAAATCCGGGCTATATGAGAGAAGGGAGCTGAGTATTACGCCCGTGGAGTGAGATACTAGGGAGGAAGAATGGAGTTGGTTGAACGAGCTTGAGCGGATTATCTAGAAAGACTTGACGACAGCATTAATGGAGTTTATTTTCACAAATAAACTGAACCGAACATCATAGGTCAGTCTGGGGTCCTTTCCTTGTGAATTACGTGAGGATGTCCGTACCTTGTTTCCTCAGGGTTTGATGGAGCCGAGTAAGGTCTGAGTGATAACAGGGTACCTATAACTCCGCATATTCGTGGAGTAGGGGCCCCTAGGGGTGCAGGCGAGGTGGCGGCGGTGTTTGGCGGTGTTTAGAGTAGAGTTTGTCGGCAGAGTGTCAGAGCCGCGTTGCGTGGGAGCAAGCCATCCTTTCTCGAGTGTCGCATCCAGCGTGAGGGCAGATTAGCCCACTCCAGTGCCATGGAACCGGCATTGAGGTGTGGTGTAATCCGAAATTCGGAGGCGGATATGATGGAAGCCGCCGATCCGGGAGTGGCACTTACTACATTGTTGTGTAAGTAGAGGCCAAGTCTTCGTCATCGTCGACGAACTTGAAGATGTGTATGCGAAGTGGCCGCATACATAGCAACGGCATGAGAGACATACTTGTATTAAATTCGATTATCAGGCCAGGATGCATTCAATGTCGTGTATCATTCTCTCGTTCTACACAAGCCTGGCAGCAACTTGAAGAGTCTTGGGGCATGGTTATGGCCATGCATGCACCCTGATCGGATCCGAACAGCCTGTAATCAGAGCGTCCAAAAGTACGTAGGCCACACAATTAAAATCTATCCCAATGCTGTTGGTTTCCATTTCTCCTGTCAGTCAGAGCCGACGAACGGTTTTTATGGATTACCTCCAGAATGTTTAGCGAGGTCCTTGAAACATAAAAGCAGACTGTCTTCCTACTACGTGAGAGTTATTCGAACTCGAACAGATCTCATATTACCTCGTACAAGCCAATGCGTTTCTCTTTGCTCGCCGTCATTGCTGCTCTGACAGCAGTTATGTCTGTCAGTGCCACACCAAGTGTTTTCAGCAGGGAATGTACTGCCGATGGCGGCTCTTGCGGCGAAAACTCTGAGTGTTGCTCTGGAAAGTGCGGGTATAATTTTGTGAGTTGCTTTGGATCCAATGGCAGGATCCAACCTCGTGACTGACCCTTTGCGCTTTGCAATAGAATTGCGGTGGGATGTGTTATCCCAAGGACTCCCAAGATTACGAAGAGCTAGCACGTCGCGAGAGTGAGTCATGTTTCTGCCTTCGTATTGGAGTTATTGTTCATGGCTCGATTCCTAGTGACTTGCTGAGTTGATCATTATGATCGTTGTTGGGCCATTGTCACCGCCGCTTGAACAATGAGAGTCCTTGAATAGAATAGAGGAATATCTCATACACTCAATATGATATTGACTCGAAAACGCAACATATGAGTGAGCGAAGTCGTCCAGCCAGCTTGATGTTTCTATGAATTCGCGTCGAGGGTAGAGGAGAAATTTGACACATGCGACCTATCATGATAATGCTTGGGTTCAGGTTTAAACTTGCTTGACGTGCAGGGAAGTTGATGGTGTCCAAGAGAGCATCGATCTTGATCTCATTCAAATCTGTCATTTTCGGGAGTGCGTCTGTTTCCCCGTCGTTCAGATTTTATGTTCCAAGAGGAAAGAAGGCATGCACATACATTCCTACGGTGAAAACTATACAGGGGCCACACGCGCGGGTAATATGTGAGTTCTTACGTAGCGCCACAGGACCCCGCGTGCAATGTCTACCTTGCAATTTGGTGAATGTCAATGAAGTTGGACATGACTGGGTCCAGGCAGGGTACAGCTGCAGACATAAGGGTCAGCCCTACTTAATCTGGGTATAAGCAATGTGATATGCCTACGTGCCGCTGGCGTTCACAACACACGCGTTTAATCAGCAAGAGAAGATTGGCACCCACTTGTCGTGCTGTGAGGTTCTCCACGTCATCAAACAGCTGGCCAGTCGTCAAAATGCCACACTAACCTATCTCCAATCGCTTTATGGAGCCATGAACGCCTGTTCCTGCATCTGGCCCAGGTTGTACATTTTTGAGCTACCTGCACAAAAGTCAGGGTCTTATTTGCTCAGTAGGGCACAGAATTTAGAGTTCGCTATTCGAATGGCAGGGAAGCCATTTGAATCAAGTCCGAACTAATGGCAGATATAATGAAGCACTCTATCGGCGAATAGATTCTATGCCCGTACTCTGACAGAGGTTTTTCTGTGTTCAGTTCGCAGACTCTATGCAAGGTGAAGAAATGATGATACGCAATTGTGAATACACTGATACGTCTACAGCGGAGGCATCTTGCGCACGACCTTTCCCTCGTTCTTTGCATGTATCGTGAGCTTCTCCAGCACGGAAGACTTTGCCCACCGCTCAGGTGGTGTGCGACTTTTAGTCGCCCAATAGTATATGTCCCAGTCCGGTTCGTCAAGTAGCTACAATGAAACCTTAGTTTGGGACGCCACCGATCAAAGAAGCGAAAGCACCTTGTCATATTCCTTCAATTCTGTCTCATCCATTTGCTTCAGATGATCCCTTGCGAACGTACTTAGTAGAAGGTCGCTCTCCAAAGTTCCGCGCTTCCTGCTCTGATAGATGAGTCTGGCACGCAAGGTTTCCTTGGGCTCCCCCGGGCGTGGAATGGGAGTAGGTGGTGGGATATCAGAAGGTGTCTGAGTGTTAGAGAGGTGTTGTGGGGTGTGCGGAAGGGGCCATGGGTCTCCAGACCACCGCGATGTCGTAGAGAGTGTGCGACGTGGACAGCGTATTGCCTCAAGAGCCAATATTCGCAAAGAAAGAAATGTAGACATTTTGAGGAGCTTGACTGGTGAGATCAAAGGTTGTGTAATAATGGACGCTTACAAGCTTGACCTAATTTGAAAAAAATTGTACACATAAGCAGCGCGCCTAACTACTAAGGTTCATGCAGTGTCGTTCACACCGGTACCATGCTACAATCCCGTCATCTATCCGACTCATAACATCTACTAGCAGAGCAGGATACGAAATGGTTCCCGTGCACGACCAAGCACGTCGCACTTCCTCTCCTCGGCGCAAATCACCGGTTTCTTGCTTTTCGTGTCTACGACCGCGGAGAGTATTCACGTTCTTGAAATTTGCACTTCCACTGGTTTTTATCGTATGTTACACGATATACTACCTCTATGACCCGCGCGGTCACATCGACCTCGTATTATATCAACGAGAATGGATACAGCGCGAAATACTCCCGCTGTCTCCACTTGGAGGATGCTTTGAGCCCGAGCGCGTCAGCCCGTTGTATAATGTCAGCGAGGCTGTGTATGGCAAGAAACGCTTTGAGGTTCAGGCAGGAGTAACGATGCGGATGGGTATGGACTGCTACGAGTTTGCAGGAACAATAAGGTTTGCAGAAGGCGAGTGGACGGAAGAACAACGGACTATCCCACCAGAGGAGCGAGCACAGTTCCACACATATTGGCGCGCCGATCTCGCGCCTTTCGATGTGAGACAAGAGTACATGCTATGGTCATTCTTCGCTACGCAAGATATTCCCCGCTCTCGTCTAATACTCTGGTCAAATGGCGACCTATCACGCAATCAAATCGTACAAAAGTATCTCATGATGTTCCCTTACTCGTTCACACTTCAGGTCGTGGATATACCTGAGTTAGCCAAGGGCACGCCAATGGAGAATCACAGCTTCCTCAATCTCGAGGACAAGAAGGCATGGGTGGACGGCGACCTTGTCCGGTTACTCGTCATCTGGACATATGGTGGTGTTTGGATAGACATGGACATGCTCCTGACCCGAGATCTCTCTCCATTGCTTGAGCATGAGTTCGTAACGCAATGGGACTGCTACGGTAATTGGACAATCAGCCCACTCTCGCCCACGTACTCACAAGATTCTACAGACAAAATTTACCAAGCATTTAATGGTGCTCTCATGCACTTCCGCAAGCACTCGCCTTATCTATGTGAAGCTTTCCATTTGATGGCACACAGTACTCCTCCACGTTCTGCAAGCACCGATTGGGGCGCAATTTTATATCTTCGGCTCTGGCGGCGCCTCCTCAGCGAGTCCATACCCCCCTTCAAAATTCTACCGTTCTGCCTTTCTGATCCTCTGGCGTGTCGTCTCGACAACAGTCTGCCAGACCCATTCGACCCTGATCGTCGGGACGGGAAGTGGACAGGCAGACCTGGGGAGGGCCTTGAGGAGGGCGGAGCACTGGACAAGGCACTAGGGAATATATTTGCTGTGCATTTGCATAATCGCTGGGATAGAACGTTCCCTCAGGGTGGTTGGGTGCATCGGTTGTTGTTGAGGAGATACTACAAGGAAATTACGAGGAAATTAGGAATGGATCGCAAGCTATGATGTATCGATCTGCTGTGAGTACTTTGATCCTGGGCGACAACGGCAAACACTAATAACATTTGCTATAGACATGAACTATAGCAATTATACGATTCAGACTTCTAATAATGCAATGTTTATACAGCGCGCTATATTTTCTTCGCAGGACTGGTGTGTGGATGATCTCGCCAATCAAACGTATTACATGCATGTAAGTCTCGCAGTGAAATCGTTGCTCGACGCTATACGTGTATGAATCCTCAGGACTCAATTCAAAATGTCTTAGCTATAGGTGGGCTCGAAACCATACTTATTTGGACACTATCAATCATCAAGGATTCATATGCCCTTATCATAGGCGGTGACGCCTTGTGTATTGGAATAGGGAATTGCTTGGGAGCGAAGCCAAAGCCAGAAGTATCCTGCAGGGCGTCGCGAGGCAGACCACGTCCTTAGTACCCGCTGCAGGTACCCGTCTCGTAGGATGAGGGTCTGTGGGCTAGGTCAAGAGGGACGCTAGGTGGCGGGGATAGCAGTGGTTTCGAATCTGTGAAAGTTCTCGTCAGGGGGCTACCCCAATTGCGCCGACGTTCTGCTTAGGAGTGATACTACTGAGCCAGTGGCAGTAAAAGTTCCGAGGCACGACTGTAACCGCGTTCGATGTCGATTGCCAGCCAGCTGCAAATGGTAACTATGACCCAACGGGAGGGTAGTTTACGGCTGGGGGAGTGAGGCTTCAGATCCCAGATCCGGTGGCCTTTATCACATCCTAAACCCCATGCAGAGACGATGCTGGATCGATGATATCGAAGATTATGTACTGAATACAAAATGAAATGGCTACTGGACTATATAAAGGGTTCGTACCAGTCATCTTATTCGGACTACATCCTTGACGATAACAGATGGCTGTTCTTGACGTCAACCAAGCTCGTGCTTGCTTTCCGTCCTTGAGATCAGGGCACATTTATGCCGATAACGCAGGGGGGTCCAGGACTGCTCAGGCAGTGATCGATCGGGTCGTGGATTATTTATCCAACACCAACGTACAGCTGGAAGCTGGCTATTCGGCTGTAAACTCCCAGCGCGTTGTCGAGGGCTCCATCGCCGCTGCAGAGTTGTTCAATGCTACATCTCTCGACGAGGTTGGGTTTGGATCGAGTTCGACGATGTTATTTGAAAATATCGCTAGAGCACTCGAAAATGATATCCAACCTGGAGATGAATTTATCATCACCTATGAACATGAAGGTGTCTGCCATTGTCTTCCTGTGTCTTTTGTTGCGGAAACTCACTACTCATCTTAGCCAACAACGGTCCTTGGAAGCGTCTAGCTGCGCGGCGCAATGCCGTGGTCAAATACTGGCATCCCATACCAGTATCTCCAGAAAATCCTTACTCGGTCGTATATAGGGTCGAAGAACTTTTGCCGCTGGTTTCATCACGCACAAGGCTGGCTGCGATCACCGCGTGCTCCAATATTTTAGGATCTGTGATTCCTGTGGAAGAAACAGTGAAAGCTCTTCGCCAGCGTGCAAAAGAGCAGGGAGCAATCAAATTCGAGGTGGCTTTGGACTGCGTTGCATACGCATCGCATAGAAGAATGGACGTACAAAAGTGGGATGTCGATTACTGCGTATTTTCTGTGTACAAGGTTTCAATATCCGCGACTTCGTTTTGATGTCTGACACTAACACTGTTTGCAGGTGTTCGGGGCTCATAATGCCTCTGCTTACGTGCGGTCAGCGGCTCTGCGGACATCCTTCACGTCCATTGTCCATGATTTCCTGAAGGTAGACGACAAACCCTATAAGTTTCAACCAGGCGGTCCAGGCCACGAGCTCGTGTATGGTGTATCGGCAATCGTGCCATATCTAAAGTCGTTGACTCCAGAAGATGATCTTGCAGCATCTTTCAGCGCGATTGCCAAACACGAGCAGGGAATTTTGACGCCCTTGCTCCGCTTTCTGACGGACGCAAAACAAGTTGACAGGGGTGTTCGCATCTTTGGGACAAGCGAGATCAATTTCTCAAGGATTCCCACTGTTTGCTTCGTTGTTGTCGGAGAGAACGCGATCAAGAGTAAGGATGTCGTGGAAGCATTTCACAAAAAGGGAGGAGTAAGTCTTTCAGTAAGCTCACTTAGTGACTGTATTCAATTATGGGTGTCGCACAGATCTCAATTCAATGCGGCCACTTCTGTGCGTATTATCTTATTGATAATCTACGCCCAAAGCTGGACGTGAATGACGGAGTCGTCCGCATCTCACTTGTCCACTATAACACCGTTGAGGAAGTGGAGAGGATCGTGGACGTACTGCGGGAAGTTCTGGCTTAGCAACAAGGTGAAGGTGAACATGTATATATGACATTCAAGAATGTACTTTCCTACCACTGCGTAGTCTCGAGGATTATTATCTAGGCTTGTTGAGCAAGCTGCGGTTTCCTCGTGGCTAGGTAGCGAAGTGAAAATTTACCACTCCCTGATGCTTCCGTCTTCTCCCCTCCATATCGGATTACGCCACGCCTCAACGCCAGCTCGACTATGTTCCTTGGCACGAGTACGCACAAGCTCCTCATTGATAACGATACCCAATCCAGGTCCTATACAAATGTCGTATCAGACGTTTAGCGGAGAGCATTAAGATTGGGTTGTTTGAGACACAACGCGTGCGGATGGAGAGAAGACCGTCATTTCTGAGGAAGAGGTAGCAAAGCGTACGGTGCGCGTGTGGCAATGCTTCCCGCAAATCTCTCCAAAAATAGAATGGACCAAACAGACTAGTACTCACCACTGGGAGTTGAGACATACCCGTCCTTCACAGCAAATACACTCGGATCTGCAAGATACGTGAAGAGGTCTGCATCATCGCTGTTATAATGCATCTACATCCAGCCAGTCTTCTAAGTGCCACATGTCATGTCGGAGCGAGAAACCCACCTGCCAGCTCATTTCTTGGATGAAATCTAAACGTCCGAAACCATGATAAGTGCCTGATCTATAAGGGTGGACCACACGCCAAAGACCCACAATTGAGCTTCGACACGCCAACAGCGATACATGCGGCCAAAGCAATCGGTCCTAGCGGACAGTGAGGGGCAAGCGCGACATCGTATGTTTCTGCCATAGATGCGATACGTGCCAACTCCGATATTCCACCGCAATGGGAGACCTTATCCGTTTTGTCAGTCGGTTGAAACATAAGGAGATAGGCAAAAACAAGACACAATAATGGACTTTGGAGCTCAGCTAAGAGGTGAGTACGCACATCCGGTTGTGCGACATCTAGTGCATGTCCTTCGAAGTAAGGGCGAAATTCATGTCGCGAGTAGAGCCGCTCCCCAGCGGCAATAGGAGTGGAGACGAGACGCCCAAGGTCCGCAAATTCCGAAGGTTGAGTAGGCAGAAGGGGTTCTGAATCAATTTCAGTACTTGGACCGCACACTTTGGTGATTAAGGGTGGTTCTCACCCTCGATGAACAAGACACCCTCGCCCTCAAGAAGCTTGGCGAGCTGGCGAGCCATACCCTTGTGTACCCGTCCATGAAAGTCCACTCCAACATCCATCCCCAACGCGCGAACTTCACGCACGCGTTCCACTGTCCCTTTTAAGAGCTCGGGGGAGTCAAGCCACGCGAGAGCCTCTGCGAACGACTCAGACTCGTTGCATCGCAAGGTTATAGAGCTTACCAGTGGCATTCATCTTTACAGCAGTGAATCCTTGCTCTTTGCGCTCACGTGCTGCTTCACGGACAGCACTCGGATGGTCGCCGCCGATCCATCCATACACACGAACACGATCCCTGACTTTACCACCTAGAAGCTGCCACACAGGAACTCCGAGCTTCTTGCCCTTGATATCCCAGAGCGCAATATCAAGACCAGACAGAGCTGACTAGTCAAAACATACGTTTAGACAAATGGTAGGCAAGGAAACAGGTAGAGACACCCACCATTAAGACAGGTCCACCACGATAAAACCGGGCGCGGTATGCAGTCTGCCAGATATCTTCGATACCATCTGCATCCCACCCAAGGAAACGTTGTGCGAGGTCAGCGAAAGCGCCTTCAATTGCTTCGGTGTGTCCTTCCAGGGTGGATTCTCCCCAGCCAACGAACCCGTCGGCCGTCTCGATGCGCACGAAGAGCCAGCGTGGAGGCACGCGGAAGACCTATATTTGACAGTGAATATGCTGGGAGGCCTGCTACACGTTGTGGGACGAACCTCGATCTTTGAGATGAAACTGGAAGCTGAAGTATTGAGGGACATACTTGCGCTCTTTAGTGGAGACGAAAGTGAGAGATGGAATCTCCTTTCAACTGCACGGTTTATGATTGAATTTTACATTTTGAGGGTGATCAGCTGAACATGGCCGGTCCGCGTAGTACCGACGGACATATCGTGTTCTTGATATATTTTTAAGCACGCGCTGCAACACGCGTCCAATGTGCAATGGACCATGTATATCGAGCTAGCTCATTTGCATCCTGAGCCATAGCAACTGAAGGCAATCAGTCTTCTCATGTGGTGCACAATACCACAAGTACTAGCTTTTCACTCGTAAAATCGGTTTCGCAATGCTGCGTCATGCTCATGGCCTTGTCCTAAATATTTATCAAGTTGTTTCACCTCGACGAGCAATAGATAACCACCAGGAAGATACCCTATAACAGTAACGATGGCTTAGGCATTGAAACAGAAAAGACGGGTGACAACATCATCTCCTGTATAACGAAATGGAGTATATCACATTGAATCTGATGTAGAGGACAAGAGCGTCCCACCGCACATCTCCCAAGTTATAGGTAGTACTGTCATCCACGTTGCACGTCTCGCATACCCATCAATCAATGAGGTACTTGCGCTTGAAAAACGACCGGAGGTGGAGAATCTGCCAGACGCCAAGGGCCGTGAGGGCAAGAATGGTGAACCAGGCAAAATTCTGGCACGCGGCGATTCGTCACAACTGCAAGGAACATAAAATTCATAAGAAGTAGTGTGCAGGAATCTGAAGAAAGACTGACGATTGGTGTCTGCAAAACGTTCTTCGCGCTTCTTGAGATATTCGAGCTCGTCGACTATCTCTTTTACAATGCCTTCCAGCTTTCGCATTTCTGTCTCAAGCCCAGAGAGTGATTCTTGGTTTGCAATCGCACTTGATGACAAGGAGGGAGTCAGTAAGCTATCATAGCGAACAAACAGGGTACACACTTGTAGTCAACAGCGTCAGCCCCGATATCAATATCCAAATCGACGGTGCGCGACATATTCCGCGCGATGTCAAGTTTGATGTCTATAACGCTATAAGTAATGGTTAATGAGACACCTGGCAACAACAAACGTACCGGGAGATAGATAATTCTTGAAACACACTCCAACCTCTCCCTCGCCGTGTGCTGTGACAGCAAGTCTCGTCTCACCCTTAATGTCGCGTTTTGAGAGATAAACGTTGCGGTGGGGTGTTGAATCCAAAATTTCGACGTCTACCCGTTGGTTTGCCCCGGGTCCAACGTTGGCGGTGACGATGACAAGTGCATGGGTATGCGCAGCATTCCATATGCATTTTGGGATGGGCAAGCGAGCTGCTGGAAGGGAAAATTTGATGGCGTGCGTGAAAGGAGCAATGAATGCGAAGAATACGATAAGGGAGAGCGTTGTTATTCGTGCCATGATTAAGTGTCCACTCAGCTATAATTTCGATGGATAGAACGCCCCCTAGCTATCGTTAGTGCGGGAGAGAAAAGCGAGCTACAGTGAGCCAGAAGCCAACGGTCGAAGTAAATGGCAGGAGTCGTAAATTGAACGTGGTAGAACGATGTGCACGGTGGCAATTTATCAGGTTACCGGCAGTGACCTTCGATGGTCTCAGTTGCGCGTTTCAAGGTCGTCGAGCTCGTTATCTATATAAATCTATGACCTCTCAGGAATCCCATATGCTCGTTGATTAACAAACTGATAGCCTGTAACTGTAAGAGTTCGTACTAATGTGTTCTCGTACTCTTGTTGGGGCATACTAATAAGCATTTACTTCTAGCTTGTCGCCCAGTCAGTATATTTTAGCGATATCCTTGCGCTATTCATTACTACACGCTAGGATACAAATGACGCAACATCCGAAGACCAACTACCATGTTGGTAATGAGAGCGGTAGTACATATGGGAACGGTTTGGGAACGGTACAAAGTTGACGGGAAAGACGTTGATGAGAGGAAGACAATGACAACAGATGTAATGGAGGAGCAAGCATGCAAAAAGTGAGGACATTTAGGCTTTGAAAATGTAATGAATCGGGACTCGGAAGATCGAACCGACAGAGTAAGCCTCAGCAAGTCGAAACATGCGGGGAGCAAGGATACCTTGAGGCCGTTATATACCGCTCGAGTAAGGTCCGACTGATAACAGGGTACTATGAACTCCAAACTAGACGGCTTGTTTGTAGCACCCAGACTGGCCATTTCAGACTCGTCCTCGGTCGCTCTCGTTCTGTATGCATGTGCTCCCGACGCCTCGCATAATTGTTAATTTTTTTTTTCGATTATATTGATTTCATAACTAAATATAGATGCTTCCGCCAATCTCTAGCCCTCCCCCCTATCCTCATTTGCGTCCATTCGTTTGCGCTCATTCGCGCTCGTTTGTTCGCACTCGTTCTCGTTTGCACTAGTTCGGAGTCGTTTGTAAGCTTGTTGAAGCTGTTCACATTTGTTCATTCTACTGGTACCCTCCGCCCACTCTCTAGTTACATTTACTATGCCAGATTTTGGTATATTGCCTCCTTAATTGCCGCATTTTTCACTCGGACGGTTCCCCTTCTTTTGCTTTTTCACCTGCTTTTAGTGTACTTGTTATTGAATGAAAAAGCAAAACAAGTGAGATAAAAATGGAAATTCAGACGACGAGTCGCTTTTTTCAACTGGCCATCTACTTATTTTCACCCTTGCTTATTTCTGCTTATTGCACGAGAAAGGTTAAAAATAAGTAAGTTAAGGAACTGCGTGTTTTACTGATGCTCTCAGTTACATAGTTGAAGGTGTAGAAAGAGTGCCGCACTACTTATGCCCAATGATCACTAATCTTAGTTCAACATGAGACAGTGGTCATAATTACCTCCTCCTTGTGCGCCCCACCATGTAGGGAATAGGTGAGAGGTACCACTAGCGCCTTGCACCGCAAACGCGAGTATGAACACCATGACTTGAGTGCCTCCGTCAAGGGCTACATCACTTGATTAGTCCGGGTACCTAATGACGTTGGAGAATACTCACCAGCTGCGACGATGTAGTTGTATTTAGCAAACCAGCCAGGGTAGCGCGTACGCAGCCACCATTGGGAGAGGAATGCGACAGCAAAGTAGCTCAGAATAAATGAATTGATCCCACCGACAAGGTATCCAGTGACGAAGCTGTGAAATATGTGAGCATGCTGCCAGAAATTCAAGAAACACTAAACGTACAGGATAATTGGAGTATAAAGATAATCAGCATGAAGCTTTGGCCAGTACCTGTGAATGACCCAGAAAGGAACAGGTACGAAAAGTCCAAGTACGTAAGCCCAAGGAACCCATTGGTATCTTTGGCCTGTGGAAAAGAGCTCGTCACTGAGTCCACCCCATGCAATTGCCTGAGAGTTGTACATCTGTGGCTGTCGTCCAGACCAGATATTGGTTCCTTCAACAGATAACAAGATTTCACGTTGGTTATCAATGATTGAATTCATCATGACTACATGCGCAATGTCAGTTGATTTTGTAGTCATGTAACAAGTGGCGTGCGCACTGTAGTTCAAGACTGCACCAAGCAGCGTTCCAATAATCTGGGCGGTAAATGCAGCGCGAGGGTGGCAGCTTTGCATCTGTAATTTACGGTCAACACAGATTGCCCTGTCCTCCTACGCACTTGAAATATACTCACACTGAGCAATCTTGAGGTCTCGAAGCAGTAGTTGGGCTTGGAAGACAGTGTCTACAACATTGGGTTAGCCGACCTGTTCTTGGAATGCAAGGTCGACACATACTGTTTCCGTATAAAACGAAGTACATATTTGCCACTGTCGCATCCGTCAATCAAAGCATATGAGAAATCAACGACAATCACCTGGCGATCCCTTCTGAATGTAACCACCAATCATCTGGCCAAACCTGGATGCAAACTGAAATGTCGAATATCGAAATGGAATTCAGGAACCTACGTCTGTATGGTGAACGACAATCCTGTAATCGCGGCGAGTGCACCGAGGAATAGAATGAAAATTGTCGCCAGCAAGAGCGAGATAAGGAAGCCCCACCTTCAATGCTCGTCAGCCTGGACCACATTTCCAATCACAGCTACTCACCATGGCAAAGTCGAATCGGTCTTGTATAAAACGACCAGGGCAACAACGAAGGACAGGAGGAAAACGACGAAGTACCAGCTATTGGGAGCATCCGGGTACTATTATAGAAATATTCATGTTGGTGAGCTGAATACAGAGAACTGCAAAACTAACCTTCAGCATCTGCTTGTAGTGGGGATCGATGTCTTCACCATCGACGTCTTGCTTCCGCATTCCATCGGCTCGCCAGAACTTCCAGTCAAAATTCGCCCATATGTTTTTGATGCCCGACGGATTCATCCAAGTCCATGCAGAACTTATATCGCTCCGGTTCCAGAGGAGAAGATGAGTGAACAAGGCCCCCAAACTCTACAATTTCAAACCGTCAGTCCGCAGAGCCTCACTAACGTTTGGTGAACTTGCCAAATTCTGGGTAAGTAAATAGACTACCCAAGTGCTGGAATAGTAAGGTAATCCTTGTTCAGCAAGGAGTGTGGGATCGACTTCATAGTTCGAATTGAGAATGAGCGTTTGATCGTACTGTGTTCCGTTTTCATAGTACAAGAGTTGAGAAAGCTGTGAGGTGTTGGCATCAATGTTCTGCCGTTGCACGTGAATGTAGACTAACGAATGGGAAGTTCTGGGCCTTCCAGATGTTGTTGTAATATACGGCCACAAACACAACCCTAGACATAAGTCAATGCAAGGTCCCGAATCAGGGCGGAGTGATCGCACGCGCAAAAAATGTAGCCCAGAAAATTCGAGAACTATTCAAGAAGTATGTAAGGCTTCTGGCCCGCGAATTCAAGAAGAAGAAGTCATACCTGTGCTTTAAGCGGGATAGTCATAGGGTTCACCTGGCCAGCAATATACTGTCGCAGATCCAGTCAATAACGCGATCCACTTCGAAGTTCGTATTCACACTTACTTGCCAGTCAAAGCAGATAGACAGGAGCCCTAGACCCTCGTTACCGTTTGAACCACCAAACAGTCGCGAGACGGTGGCATTGTTAGGAGCTGCAAGGCAGAAAATTGAAACCCCGGTCAGAAGCGGAAAGATCCATTCTGGGAAAAGCTCCCAAACAAATATGCTGAGTCGATCAGCATGTTTGATCATTGCCGGTCTTAATCAAGGGACTTACGCAGCAACCACCATGGAAAAGACTCTGAGCTTCTTCCGTGATGCCATCCCGCCTTCGTAGAGAGCATCGAACATGGACAGCAATGGTAGCACACCGGGGTATAACATCTTTGATGGATATAACAAGATGCCTGGTAGAGGTATGTAAACACCGGGTTCAACAACAGGTTCAATTGTGGACATACTTCTCATCATGCCACCAATTCCATAACTTATAACTTTGTCAGCGTCCGCTGGAACTTGAACAAAAATTCTCATACCCAAGAAGTTGAGAAGAAAAGAGTAGGAACACTGAGGTGACAGCATTTGGCGTGATATTGTAATACAATCTTTAGTGAAGATCAGTAAATTCCATGAAAATAAATGAGGCTCACTGACCGCTGGACTGCAAGAACATCGGTACCCAAGGCAGAGTTGGCAGAGGCGCTTGCCATGATCACAATGAAAGCATTTTCTTTCTTGTTGAACGGTCCCTGTGAAAGATCTTAGAATGAAGCAACGGATGAGGGTAAATTGATTTACGGGGTTCAGATAGCGCAGGAGCCCACGGCGAGGAATAAAGGTCTCCATGGAGACGCCCAGGATGTAAGAAACAACCGCAAGGAACATCAATGACACTGAGATCGATTGCTGCGGCAATGATATGAGTACATAAAGTTGTCATGCTCGCTCCACTACGCACAGGTTTGAAATAATAGATTTCCGCTGTAAATTGACATTAATGAGTATCATGGTGGCTAAAAACGAACTCAAAGAAGCTCACCCAGTACTCCGCCAAAGGTTGAGAGACCAAGACCAATAAAGAATGCACGGATTGTCCACGGGTTCAGGGAATCGTCGTCGTCCACCGATATGACGTTCGTAGCAATATCACGTTCATCGGAGAGCACGCTTCCCCGCTGTCAGCATCAACGTTGCTGTTCCTATGGAACGAATTGTCACTAGTGCTAAGAGCTTTCTCGCTGGGCACAGTGTGCTCGCTGATCGCCCCTGCAGCAGTTAGACTCATCGTAATGATAAAATAGTACTGCAAGAGAAGTGAGAAGTTTCAGCTATCAGCAGACTATAAGTAGTATTTACCTCAAAGATATAGGTTACCATTCTCGTCATTGAAAATCCGTATGGTGGCCATGATGTGTGTCTCGTGTCTCATCTGAAGGTCCCTTGGGGACTGAGTCTAGTGGAAATAGGTCTATTTCGGCATTTGGAATGTTGGCTG